GTGTGTTCACCTCCACCTGAACTCTTCATCTCTGGTACACTGGTACACTGCCTGTGATAGTAAAAAGTCATCTAAGTTCCCATGGATTTTTTTTCCCATCACATACAAAACACATAATAAGCAAAACATATGTTAAATTGAATGTTTCTATTTCCCATAGGCCTTCCAATAACTGCAGTTTGTTTAGGAGGAACCAAAAGTAATGGGTAGAGTTTCAACTAGTCAGCACCTTTAGCCCCTAAACTGTACAAGAGTCCATTGAATTATACATCTGGTAGCTGAAAAAATTATGGCCTTTAAGGCCAACAAGATGGCTCAGAAGGTAAAGGTGCTTGCTACCAAAACCTGATGACCTGAGTCCAATCCCAAGAATCAGCATGGGAAAGCAGAAACTTCCCTAAAACTGTCCTTTGATCTCCACATGCATTTGTGTGTGTACACACACACACACACACACACACTTAATTTTTTAAATGGATCCTAAATATATATAAATCTTATGTTTATATAATACTTAGTATGAAATGGTAGATATATCAATTAGCCTAAAATGATCATTTTATGTTGTATTCATGTATAGAAAACAAAGTATATCTCATAAACAATTATGAGTCTAATAAAAGGGCCAGGCAGTGGTGGCACATACCTTTAATCCCAACACTTGGGAGGCAGAGGCAGGCAGATCTCTGTGAGTTCAAGGCCAGCCTGGTCTACAGAGTGAGTGCCAGGACAGGCCCTAAAGCTACAGAGAAACCCTATCTCGAAAAACCAAAACAAATAAAGGGACAGGGACAGAGAGATGGCTCAGCAGATGAAGGTGCCTGCCATCAAGCCTAACAATGTGAATTTGCTCCTTGGGAGCCTCATGGTGCAAAGAAAGAAGAATCAGCTCCCAAAGGTTGTCTTCTGCATCCACACATGAATCTGTTGTGTGATACTTTGATTTCATTCTGACAATGAAGTTTGCTTTGATTCAAATGGTTGAGCTAGCTACTAGCAGACCAAAATTAACCATAGAGGTTTTAGAGGACTGAGGACAGATAGAGAGACAGAAAGTAATAAGGCAGGGCTCAAAGAGGATCTCAGTCCTTTTTGGATGGAGGAACAGAAGAAACAGAAGATCACATCTCTGCCACTTCTCTGACCATTCAAGTTCTTACCTCAATATCTGTCTCCTGATTTTTTATTGATAAAGAATAATTAGATAAACACAACATGAACCCTAGCATCCATACAAATGAACACAAAAACAGAGAGAGAGAGAGAATAAAATAAATAAAATGTGATGAAAACTTTTAAATAAAACTACAACTGAGGCTGGGCATTGGTGGCACATGCCTTTAATCCCAGCACTGGGGAGGCAGAGGCAGGTGGATCTCTGTGATTTCAAGACCAGCCTGGTACAGAGTGAGTTCCAGGACAGCCTCCAAAGCCACAAAGAAACCCTGTCTTGAAGAAAACAAAAAACCCTATAACTGGTGAGATGGCTCAGCAGGTAAAGGAGTCTGCCACCATGTCTGATGATCTGAGTTCAATACTCTGGACCCACAGGTAGAAAAAGAGGGCAGAGTCCAACAGATTACCATCTGGACCACCACATATGTGACCCTAGAATGTATGTATACACACACACACCAGAGACACACAATGTAAAACTAAAGAAACTTTAAACAACTGTGACTCTGTCACTAACATGTTACTCACTTCTCCATACCACATGACTTACATACAAGTAACTAAGCACAGGTACTAAAGCCAGTGTCTACCCAAAGCTTATCCTAACTGTTCTTATGCTGCCTCTTCACTTTTACTCTAAATAAGATAAAGTCAAGTAAAGACAAAAGCACAAAATAAACTTTACAATTAGCCCTGCTTTCTGAAAGCATCCTACCCAGACAAGCTACTTTGCTAAGAAAATGGCAGGCACTGAAGTCAGCCATTTAAATAGCTACCATGAGTGCTTGGGTGACTTCATCATAACCAAGAGAAAGGCATTCTGGATCAGTCAGTGATTGGCTCCTAGGGAAATAATCAACCAGCTGGAGATGCCAAGATCTCCAACTTAGGGACTCTGTAATTCTAGAGCTCTGGCACAGGTGGGATACTCTGCTCACCCAATGAGACTCTACCTAGAAGCTAGCAACCTCACAGTGATGAGCTCAGCATTTGAGTCACATGTGAGGGTTACAGACCTACATGAGAAAGCACCTTCTTTTCAACAGTAAAAACATTTACATTTCATGAAGCCTGCAAGATGGTGGGACTCTTCAATTAAAAAGGGGGTTTGGTAACTAGTGTCTCTTTCTCAATTTAGTCACAGAATGACTTAATCATAGCAGACTGTGCTAACAAGATCTGAAACTGAAAACATTCTCCCAACTTTGTATGGATGTAACTAGAGTGTAACAAGAATATTTTTTTTAAAAAAAGAATATATTCCAAAAAGAAGCCATCAGACATTTACACTTGAGTAAGACTGAAAGCCCTAATAACAAACAGTAGCCCTCACACCTAGTTAAAAAGTAACTACTTGTTTTTCTGGGGGTCTGGTTGTTGTTTTGGTTTTTTGGGGGGGCTTTGGAAAATATGAATGAGCACATGAAGAGCCTGGAACCCCTAGAAATAAACTCTCCTAGAAATCAATGGAAAGGAGCACCCTCCTTCACATAGTGACAACTTAAGCTAACCAAGTTCTTGTGGGATAATGCTCTTGTACGCTGTAAAAATTTGTCACTTACACTGGTTTAATAAAATGCTGATTGGCCAGTAGCCAGGCAGAATCATAGGTGGGGCTACCAAATTTGGAGAATGCTGGGAAGAAGAAGGCAGAGAGGTCACCAGACAGATGCAGAGAAAATAAGATGACAATGCCATACTGAGAAAAGATACCAAGCCACATGGCTAAACATAGATAAGAATCACGGGTGAATTTAAGTTGTAAGAGTTTGTTAGTAATAAGCCTGAGCAATAGGCCAAATAGTTCACAATTAATATAAGCCTCTGTGTGTTTATTTGGGACTGAATGATTGCAGGACCAGGCGGGACAGAAACTTCCATCTACAAGCTCTCCTCAGGGTTATGTTCAGAATCAACTTATTCAAAAAGTAACATATTCTGTTGTCAGACGGAGGGTCCTTGCCTCCTGTGGTAATATATTGTTTATGATTTACTAAAGCCACTGACAGCCTCCTCCTCCAGATGTGTTATCCTGGCTCCAGAGAGTCAAAGAAAAACTACAGAAATCTTCTTCAGCAGATTCAACAGCTACATACATGTAATTTCAGAGTGCAAAGCATTTCCCAGACATTCTCTTGTATTAGAAGCTACCTTCCGTGGTATAATTTGAAGGCATGTTCTTTGTGGAATACAAGCTGAGTCAAATCTCACCTGCCACCACTTGCATAAACGCCAGTATGAAAGCTAAATGAGGTTTTGTATGAAAACGACTTATGCCCATTACTGCAAGTGAGGGAGGCCCCTTAACAATGTTCTTCAAAAGCATTTTGTAGCCAGATAAAGTAGTACCCACTTTCAATCCCAGCATTCAGGAGGCAGAGGCAGTTGGTGAGGTCAGTATAAGCACATAGTGAGTTCCATGCCAGCTGAGGCTACAGGAGACCCTGTTTCAAAAACAGAAACAAAAAATCACCCAGAAGCATTTTGTATTCCCAAAAGGTTTAAAACCATTCTCTGGATCCAATTAGAGAACACTACCAAACAATTTTCTGGGCAGTCTTTCTTAAAGAGGCATTGTCGAAAACCCTTCACAGGGCTGGTGAGATGGCTCACAGGTAAAGGTGCTTGCCATCAAGCCTGACACCAGAGTTGATGCCCTGGAACCCACATGAGACCCAGCTCCTCCAAACTGCCCTCTGACCTCCACTTGCAGGCCATGGAAATGCACTCGCACACACAAGAAATAAAATGTCATCTTACTGACTTGGTTAGGAAAAAGCGTGTTAAATTTCCTGAAACTCCCAATGATTGCTTGTAAGGTTTTAACAGAAATTCTCCAGATAGGCAAAGACAAAGGTACTAGCGCTATTAATATGTAGCTAAAAAAAACTATTCATTCTTTTTTTCACTACACTCTGATGGAAGCAGCCATATAACAAATGTTGCCCCTTTCCACTCCCTACAATTCTGAATACTCCTTTGAATTACTCTTTCTGAATTGACTCCACTGGAGCCCAACACCTCCATGCAGGATCTTCCCCAAGAAAACCATCAGGTACACACAACAACAAGAGGGGGCCAGTCCATGCCGGGCACACCTTTAATCCCAGCACTAAGGAGGCAGAAGCAGGCAGATCAAGCCCAGCCTGGACTACACATCCAGTTCCAGGCCAGCCAGGGCTAGTGAGCCTGTTCCAGAGAGGAGAAAACAAACAAAACGAACAAACAAAGCAAACAATAAGAGAGAAAGAAAACCAGTATACACCCAGACCCTCAGGCTATCTATCTATCATTTACGTATATATGCAGATGCATGTGAGCATAGGTATATACATACAAATATGTATACACAGGCCTATGCACACACCCCGAAGCAATCTTGCTTAACTTCTCTCTTCTTGCCACTCATTAAGTCTTACGAAATGCAAAACCGCTCCCAGCCTCACAACTCTTCAATGATCCAAATCCGCCTTTGCTGTTGCATTGAGTCCTACAGATCCGAAACTGTTTTGTGGAACAGAAACACTGAACAGCACCCGTGTGCTATTTGCAAGCATTAAGCACATCACTAACACAAAAGTGACAGGCCAGCCCTACCCTCGAGCGAGTGTGAGCAGCAGCGATGCAAGGCCAGACCCCAGGGTTTATGATTTCCACAAATGGGTCCAGGCCCAAGGTTAGCGGCTGCACCTCTACCGCGGCGACCGGGCGCAGGCACCACGCAGGGTTGGCGGACGGCACGGCACGCCCCGCCCCGCCCCGCCCCGCCCCGCAGGAGCGCTGCAGTCCCTGCTCCGCACCACCGGACCCGTGCCTCCACGTACCTGCTTTGCACACCGGGGCGCTGGGGCTCCTCTTCTCCGCCGAAGGCCGACCCTGCTCTGGGGACCTCCTCCGGTGGCGGACGCGGGCGGGGGGTGGGGCCGCGCTCACCTCGCCGGGCCACAGGTGGGTGGGCGACGAGCTGGGCGACGACACGGTGCCCAGCAGGGGCGGCGGCGGCTGCGGTCGGGGAGGACTGCTTCGGGCCACAGGCGCCGTGCCGCGCGTGGGGCTGGTACCGCGCGTGGACGTCGCGGACGCGCCCGTCTGCGTGGCCACCGTGGGGCTGGTGCGCGCCGCCGCGCTCCCGCCGCCGCCACCGCTGCCGCTGCCGCCGCCGCGCGTGGGGCTGGTGCTGCGCGAGGCGGTGCGCGGGCCGCTACCGCCGCCGCCACCCGAGGGGCCTGAAGCGCCGCCGCAGCCACCGTTGTTGCCGCCGCCGCCGCCGCCGCCGCCCCGCGTGGGGCTGCCATGTTGCTGCTGCTGCTTCAGCTGGAACGGCACGGTCGCCCTCATGGGCTGCAGGCGGCTCCCGGGACCCCCGGCCGGGCCGACCGCGCCACCCGCGAGGGCGCCGGCGGGCGTGGGAGACCCATTGCGCCTCACCCGCTGGGACATGGTCCCCCCGCCACAGAGACTGAGGCCCGCGGGCGCCGGGGGATGCCGGGCGGCGGGGACCGGTTGCTCGGAGCCTGAGAGAAGGCCTGAGCCAGCGGGTGACGAAGCCTGACTTCGGGAACGGGGGGCGCGCGGGCAGCGGCGGGCAGAGACGAGGTGGTGCAGCCACCGCCGCGGCTCCTCATCAACAATAGTGTCTCCTCCGTTGCCCCCGCCCCCAGACGCCGCTCATTGGTGCAGCGTCAGCGCGCTCGAGCCGCTCGGCCTCGCTCATTGGCTGCGCGCGGCTCGGCTCCCGAGGCTGCGTCTGCTCTTTAAAGAGAAAGAGGCCCGCCCCCGAGGGGTCGGGCGGCGGAGGAAGCCGGCCGTGGCGGGAGGGGGGCGCTTGTGCGGTGGTGGGGGTGCGTGCGTGCGTGTGCGTGCGTGCGTGTATGTGTGTGTGTGTGTGTGTGTGTGTGTGTGTATACATGTGAGTGTACGCGTAGGCGCGCGCGCCCGGCCACGCGCCTCTTTGCTTCCCTCTGGAGGGAGCCCTTGGGACTCAAGACTGGAATAGGGCCAGAGGGACGGACTGTACGGGACCACGGCGTCCCCGGGGATGGTCTGATGGGAGCCTTTCCCCCTCCAACTCATTTCCTTACCACAATGGTAGCTGTGAGTTAACACGTACGCACGTCTCTTTGGGGCCCCAATTTTTTTTGTTTGTTTGTTTTTTTCTGCCCTAATTCCATCTACCTATTGGCAGGGCTTGAAAAATAAAAAGAAATTTAATCTTGCTGGCATTTTACATCCTGCTTTCTGTTTTTCGTTTGTTTCTTTCTTGTAACTCTACAAAGATCCAAATCTCAGAAAGGTTACATTTGCAGATTAGAATACATTTTAGATGGTATCTGTGGAATTCAGTTGTCAAATGGTGCTGCTACTATCCTCCTATATATATATATATATATCAAGTAATCAAGAATTTAATCAATTACATCACAGTTCTTTATATCTTTGAAAGATGGCTATTAGCTTACAAATTTATAAAATGCTAAACCTTCTATTTGCTCCCAACTATTTGAAACAGAGCTGGGTACACCACTCATACTTTTATTTATTTACTTATTGCATTTATGCATTTGGTGTGTGTATACAAACGTGCATACATGTGGAGTCAGAAGACAACCTGGTCTCTTCCACCATGCTGGTCTAGGGAATAAAATTTATGTGATCAGACTGAACCATTTCATTGACCTACCCATCATCCATAGTTTAGTTTGGGGGAGAAAATAAGTCTCCGTAATTTTCATAAAAGTTCTGAAAGGCAGGAACTTATAAAGTAACATACAGGTTCCTCTTCAATGAAAAACTCACATAAACCCTGTGCATGCAGGCCCTTGATCCCTTTGCTGTTTTCACAGATGTCCATTCTAGAAAGATCACTTAAGTGTGGGAGATGGGTGGCAGGCCTCAAGTCCTACTGGGTTCCTATGCAAAGCCTAGAGAGGTTCAGATCCGCCATATAGTCTGTGATCTTGAGTATGTCCCTAGTCTTATTTGTAAGGTACAGCTAAGCAATACCATCTACATACAGTTCTATTAACCAAGGATGTGATGAGAATGTGCTGGGGAAGGGAGTCCTCAATGTTCCTTTTCTAGTCTGTCTTTATTCTCTCATTTGTCACTCATTGTGTGTATGACATCTGTGCATCCCAATGAACAAAACCTCAGAAAAGCGAATACCTACTCTTCACCTAGGTGTGAGGGGTACTGCCTGCTATTAATTCTTACAGTTTTACTCAAGTGTAAATGGCCAATAGCTTCCTTTCAGAATATATTTCAGTGTCCTGGGCATTCTGATAATCTGTTTTGTGTGCCAAGTGAACCTTTCCTTTGTATTAAGCAAAAGTGTTTTCAGCAGATAAGCTGAATTTGATCAAAACATAAGATATTTTGCATAGAAAAAACAAGATGTGCTAGAGCTAGTTCCTTGTTATATTTCTCTTCTTTCCTTTTTTAAAAAATTTAGTCCAGTATAGCTCAGGCTAGCCTGAAAGTCATGATGTAGCTGAGGATAGCCTTGGACCCCGGATCCTCCTTCCTCCACCCCCTGAATGTTAAGGGTAGAGGCCTGCACCACCACACCCAGTTTGTGCAATGTTGGTGCTCATAACTATAAAGCACACCCAGCTCTCTGTTCACATTTTCTTCTACCTGTGTTTCCTGTGGAATCTCAATTCCCACAGCTCCAAATAAAAATAGATAAATAAGTCTCCTTTGATCTCATTTAGCAGGTCTGCATAACTCAGCAACGTAGAGCCAAACTTTCAACAAAGACAGCCAGTATTCATCATTGCAGCTTCCTTTATACTAAAGGATGTTTGTAGTTATTTGTAAATAAAAATTTTGAAATCCTGAAATCATCAGAGAATCTTAGCAATTGAAATATAAATGGCTGGAATTGGATAGTTGGGCATACCTTGGAATGGTTCTGGGTTTTATGGGGTTTTTTTGTTTTTTGGGGTTTTTTTTTTTTGTTTTTTGAGACAGGGTTTCTTTGTATTGTTTTGGAGGCTGTCCTGGAACTCACTCTGTAGACCAGGCTGGCCTCAAACTCAAAGAGATCTGCCTGCCTCTGCCTCCCGACTGCTGGGATTAAAGGCATGCGACACCAACACCTGGCTATGGTTCTGTTTTTTAAGGTTAAATGGAAATGAATAAAAACATTTATTCTCATCCTTGACTTCATTATCTGCTGTTAAAGAATCAAAGCAAATAATACATCGAGGTGATGTACGGTTCTTAGTGTTCTGGCTTCTCTCTGATAATACATCAAGGTGATGTACGGTTCTTAGTGTTCTGGCTTCTCTCTGATAATACATCCAGGTGATGTACGGTTCTTAGTGTTCTGGCTTCTCTCTGAAGAGAGTTCTTGTTTGTCAAGGATGAAGAAAATAAGCACCGCCCCCCGCTTGAACCCCACTTTTCCCAAGAGATGACTCAGATTTTACACTTTCCCCCCAAGGCCGAAATGTGACCGACTTACGTAAGCATAGACAAGAAGCGATGTGTTAGAATTTGTCTGTCTGTATTTAAACTCCAGAAGAGGGGTTAAAGGTACAACTTAAAAAAAGAACGTACGTCTATCATGTGTGAGGCAATCCCAGCACAGCAAAATGACACACAAACCTCAGGAGATTGAATTATTGATAAACTCATTTGCTTTTGGGTTTGCTTAACTCTTTACAAGAAAAAAAATATGTTTTTAAAAAATTAATGTTACATGTGTGAGAGAGAGAGAAAGAGGGAGAGAGAGAGAGAGAGAGAGAGAGAGAGAGAGAGAGAAGAGAGGTAAAGATACAGATGGTTGTGCTGGGAATTGAGCTCAGGTCATCTGGAAGAGCAGACAGTGCTCTTATCCTCTGAGCCATGTTTCTAATTCCCAATTAAATGCATTTTTATGAGTCTTATTTTTCTGTAGTTTTGTTTGTTTGTTCTTGTTTTTTCAAGATAGGGTTTCTCTGTAGCTTTGGAGCCTGTCCTGAAACTCACTCTGTAGCCTTGAACTCAGAGAGATCTGTCTGTCTCTGCCTCCCAAGTGCTGGGATTAAAGGCAGTGCCACCACTGACCAGCTTTCTGTAGTTTTTTAAAACTCCTTTAATGTGGGGCTGGAGAGATGGTTCAGAGGTTAAGAGCACTGACTACTCTTCCAGAGGTCCTGAGTTCAGTTCCCAGCAACCACATGGTGGCTCACAACTATCTGTAATGAGATCTGGTGCCCTCTTCTGATCTGCAGGGATAGATGCAGGCAGAACACTGGGTACATAATAAATAAATAAATAAATAAATAAATAAATAAATAAATAAAACTTTAAAAAAAACCTCCTTTAATGTTAATAGAGCCATCTCAATCCTTCTACAAATGTTTCTAAAATGTGGTTGAGTAGAACTTATATGCCACAAAATTGATCATTATGACCATAAATTTTTTCCACTTTAAAATGGAAGAAATAAAGGGAAAAATAAATACATGATATGCAAGGCAGTGGTGGTACACCTTTAGTCTCAGCACTTGGAAAGCAGAGGCAGATGGATCTCTACGAGTTGGAGACTAGCCTGATCTACATTGCAAGTTCAAGGACAGTCAGGGCTGCACAGAGAAACCCTGTCTGGAAAAAACAATAAATAAACAAATGATAATAGAATAAAATATTTACAATAGGACTTGTAGGGGTGTTATTTTTCTCCAAGAAATATGGAATTCTGATTTCCTATTTAAAAAGATGTTTATCAAAACTTAAACTGCTGATCAATGACCTCTACTTAAAATGTGACTGCTAGTTTTCCTTGGAGCCTCAAGGCTCAATGACTTATGCACTCTGGCTGCCTCACTGATATCTGTGCCTAGATTTCAAAGCCATTACACTGTTTCCTATTTAGCTGCCTGCGTAGCCTCTCTTATACATCTTGTATATAAGATATATAACCTGGTCCACATAGGTTCATCATCCCTGAGACATTCACCTGCCATGAAATAACTCCCCTTGAAGTAAATGACACTTAGTGGTGTATGTGTCAAAACTCCAGAAGTCATCTTAGCTCATCCTCTACCCTATGAGAAAACCAGTAAACCATTCTACCTTATTATTTGGCTTCCTGTAACTCCCCCCAACACACACTCAACCCTGAGAGTCCTGGGATTACAGGTGCATGCCAGAAAGTCAAATTGTATTCTGAGTACCTTGGTTCATTTTGAATAAAGCTGGGCCCATTCATTGCTTGGGCAAAAAAAATGTCTAAATCAAAAGCAAAAAATAGACACCAAAAATAGGAACAAACAGCAACCTGATATTTACTGAAATATGTGAGCACACAGGGGTATTTCTTTGCATGAATCTCAATGCACATCTCAAAGTTATGCTTATCACAACCCAGTCTCTAATCGTTTGTTGTGGGATCTCCTTTTACTCTAGGCCCACAATGGAATGCCAAAATGTTGTTGTTGTTTGTTTTTTACTCTTTTGGTTCTTTACTTTTTTGTTCCTTTCTCTTTGGACTCTTTTGGAGGCCCACCACCCAGCTCCCAAATAAATCACTCACAGAGGATTATTATTAGTTATGACTGCCCGGCCTTAGTTTGGCTGGCCCCTGACGGCCTACTCCCCTCATTCTCTCATTTGCTCCTCCTCTCCAGATGTCTCCTTCTATTTATACTCACT